CTACATGGGAAGTGCTGTACCCTAATTATAAATCTGGTGAATTAAAGGGGAACTAAAGAGGAAGCATAAAATAGTTTTGAGTGGACAAAGTGATGAAGGCCCCTTTGCATGACTGGACAATTTCATAAAAGAAAAAATCCCTTTCGAGAATTCAGGGCATGTTTCTTACAAACCACCCATGTTTCTTAGTTGCAGTTTACTGGTCCACAAGATAGTAAATCCTCAGGTGGGTAAAGGAAGCCAGTGATTCTTCAATCTGTGTGATTGTCTAATTTCAAAGATTGCCCCAGTGATTTATCTAATCTCAAAGAAAAGCAATCTCTGCTGTCTAGGGCGAGCTAGCCTGGGAGTTCCGATCAGATACATGGAGCTGTTGCTCAATTTCCAGTGCTTTCTACCTGCATAGGATATGAGTACGTGATTTGGGATAACCCTTGTCCTGGACCAGGAAGATTCAGGCCTTATGGTTCCATCTTCTAACTGATTCATGGAGTGAAATTGGACACATTATTTCCCCTTTCTGGACCTCAGTGTACTCTTTTGTACAAGGGTTGTATTCTCAGTCTTTCCCATGCCTAAGATAAAGAGGTTCAGTCTGGAGGTGGAAAAACAGAGCTAAAGTTTAAAGAAGGAATCTGCCACCTTTAATAATGGAAGGCAGTGGGGCCTTCCACATGAAGTGTCAAGGGAGTGGCCGCCATTGACAGTGCTGTAGTGTATGTAACATTGCAAACAATGATTCCCTCACATAACAGTGACTGATGAGTGGACTTTTGGAATAATGAACTGCGTGGTGGACACACACACAAAAATAAGGAATATAGCTCAAGAAAAACGAAAGCAAGAAAAGCAAATTAATTACCTATAGGCGTGTTGTGGTTTCTGAGGAAGAGTAGAGTAGCACAGGAAGGCAGGCTCTGGGTCTCTCCCAATGCTGCGGTCACCTCATTCACAGGGCTCTTGGCAGGATTCAGTTTCTCGTGGGCTGTTGGTCTATCCTTTGCCATGTGGGCCTCTCCATAGACCATCTCACAATGTGGAGCTAATGGTATCAGAGCAAGCAAGGAGAAGGACAAGAGTAAGTGCCAGCAAGAGAGTGCTGGCAAGATGGAAGTTGAAGGGTTGTAATTGCCTCCTCTCAGAAGTGATATCCATCATGACTCTTGTATTCTGTTTTTTAGATCGAGTCACTATGTCCACATTCAAAGGAAAGGGGTTGACACAAGGGAGTCAGTACAAGGAGGTGGGATTATCGGGAGCCACAGCAAAGCTCCCTCCCACAAAAGGCTTTCTATATCCATTTTTATCTGGAGAATTGTCTAGTTCTGAGGCCGTGAGGGAAGACAGTCACATCGCAAGGAAAGACAGAATCTCTCCTCCTCCTCCTCTTCCTCCTTCCCTGCTCCTCAACCTCAGGATGCCTCTAGCAGCCCAGTGTGTGTCATTGGGTGAGATGGATCTGGTGTAAGTCATGATGCTATTTGCCCTGGGAGTGAACCTGGCTCTCCACAGCATGGGTGCAGCTCACTACCAGAGAAAAGCACTCATTTCCCTTTCCACTCGGTTGCGTTCATCTTTCCCTTTTGTTCACGCTCTCTTTTCAGTCAACCTCATATTCTTTCAGGCCTTTTCCCCTCCACCTATCCTTTTTCTTCTCTCTTGTAAGCTTTACTGTTTGCCTGTGGCTAGCATAACTTTCCATCCCTCTTCCCCTTAACCTGTTCCTCACGCTTCATGACCCAGTGCCGTGGGCAGCATGCATGGGAAACAGTCCCTGGTTCTAGAAGATTCTTCAGCACTCTCTGATTTTCTCAGAGCTCTTTTCACCTCCATTGTACTATCTCACATGAGCATTACCTATTTAGGTGTTTGCTTCCCTAAACTTTGGGCTTCTTATTCATCTCCACATTCCCTGCAATATATGAAAGGGCTTCTGTAATGTTTGCAAAATGAATAAATAAAAACCCAGAGGCTGTCAGAGTCCTCAGGAACTGTGGTTCACAAGCTCAGCTTGGGCCCCTGGCAAGCCCCTGGGCTATCCAGCCTTCTGTCCTTGATATGCAGGCTCCGTGATTCCTCCAAGAAAAACTCTCCAAAGGCTCACATCCAAAGCACACAGAGAGGTATTGAATAATGCAGCCCAAAGGGAAGTGCTGTGCTTTCAGGTAAGATAGGAAATGGGCAGTGTGTGAAATAGGTGTTTTGAAAATGCTGTTTGTGATGTCCTAGAATCCATGACTAAGGAAATGTGTGTTCTCCAAGACAAAATTAGCAGCGCTCCATCTTTATAGAGCATACTAGAACTGCTACAGAGACACACAGCCTGTGAGGTTGAATGAAGTAAAAGAGGTGTTTTTGTTTTTCTTTGAGGACAGCTATCCATTGTGCTTTTATAATTCTGATACTGGACAATGAGTTGTTCAGAGGGAGGAGATGAAGAGGCTAAAGAAGAGAGGAAGAAAGAGAAGCATCCACTGTGTGGCCAGTGAAGGAGCTACCCAGTGAGAAATGAACGCAAAGGAACTGAGCTGATTTCTGTTGTGATGACAGATGAGTTTCCTGCAGGGTCCAGAGAGTGGCCCAGCAGGAAAAGGTGAAGGGCAGAACCCACCATTGTGCTAGATGTAGGGAGTGCTGCCACTTAGCTGCCAGCTTCTCTGTCCTTAGAGAAAAATACCACCAGAGTTCAAGTTGGAACTGGGATTTGTTTCTGTGTCACATGTCATATTAGTGGAGCAGGATTATTTTAAGCTATAAGCAATTATTCTAGGATTTCAGAGTTTAGTTCTTTTATAATTTTGGCTTGTCCTGTGATCATTATGGTTAGATGTACTTCAAGAAAAACATACAGGTTTCCATTATTTTGTTTAGGAAATTAGAGAAGAAACCTGACTCCTCCTCATTACTAGGGAGTGAAGTTTAGAGGTGAGAACAGGTTGCAATCATACCTTTAGGATCTTCAGCATTACACACAGGATCGGGAAGCTTGGACCATGTCCTCTTTGTCTTTTCTCCTTCATGCTTGTGCTCCACCATGGCTAGTGAGACTTATGCCCTTTTTCCTTAATCAACTTCTCATCCTCCATGATCCAGTGCAGTGGTCAACATGTAGGGAAAAACTTCCCCACTGACATGTGTTTGTGTGTGTGTATGTGGAGGGGATTGAACCCAGGGCCACTTTACCACTGAGCTCCAGCTCTTTTTGAAATAAACTTTGTTTTGATGGGCTGACCCTGAACTTGTGACTCTCCTGCCTCAGCCTCTTGAGTAGCTGGTATTACAGTGTTTGCCACTGTACCCAGTCCCTTATAGATTCCTAAATGCTTTGTCCTCTGGTTTTCCACAGCACTCGTCTTTCTATTATTTACCTGTCTCAAGTGTTACACCTTTAGGCAGCTGGGCACAAGACCTTTGTGTCCCGTGTACATGCTATGGCTTGTGGCCCAAACAAGTTCCTGCCCCTGACCTCCAAATCCATTTTTGTTTTTTCTGGGGGTTACCTTTACCTTCTGTTCCATTTTGTTCTTGTAATAGGACTAAATGGGCCACCTTCATTTCTACTCAAACAGCATTTGATGAGAGGAGTCAGTGATGACAGGCGGCCCTTGTTCCCCACTGAGGCAATTCCACCTGGCAGGATTGCACTTGCCCACCTTGATAGGTGGCAGGACAATCACTGATCACCTTCTAGACCTGCTTCAATGCTTCCTGTAACCTGGCAGTGAATGAAATGCACAACCTTCCAACTCAATGACATTTAAGGCCACCACTCATCGGTTCAGGCAGCAAAATAAATTGGTACTCAGCTGCTCCCAGTCTATTTTTCTGGTTTGAGCTATAAATAAAAGAAATGATTGTGCCACCGCATGTGTGACACCAACCTGCCCCCCTCCCCCAAAGCAATCAAGTTCTCTCGCTGTCTTTGTTCTGGTGCCCCCTGAGGAACACAGTGTTAAGGATTATATTTGGAGGTTGCCTGGTGCTCCGTGTCTACATTTCAGTCCTACACACACAGATAAATATAACAAATGATTGGGGGGTACATTGAAATTACACATGCAACCCTGCCAAATTTGTAATCCATTCATATGAAAAAATGTTCTATTAAATATTATAACTCCCTAATATTCTTATTTAGTCCTTTATTCATGGGACTAAGTTGCATCACTCAATGGTGACATTTAAATGACAGTTACTGCAGTAACACAGAGTAATGACCTAGTGAAGTGTGGTGTATTGGTGTGTTTATCCAATAATTTATAGATCCCATAAATGCTAGTTATGATGTCTGATGAGAACTCAAAAGGCAAAGAAACATTTTTTTCCACATAAAGATTATGAAGTTCAATATTTTTAAAAGCACATCCGAATACTTAGGCTCCCCTTCCACACTCTTTCCCATAAGTGTTGCATTCCCCCACCCACCCAAACCATCGAAAATAAAAACAAGAAAACACCCTTCCTCCCACCCTAAAAGCACAGATGTCTTTGGTCTGTACAAACATGAAGAGGAAAAAAAAAAAAAAGGAATGAGCCTAAATCAAACCAAACAATCTTCACTTTCTTTCAGGCGAAATCGGCTTTAATCAGCATGCTGCACATTCTGTCAAACTGCCCCCCCTCGCCTTTTTTTTTTTTTTTTTGAAAGCAATACATTATTTCTTCGATTTTGGCAAAAGCTAGACTTCTGCTAGCCACAAAGTGACTACATAAAGGCTGTTACCAAGCCGATTTCCCGTCTCTGCCAAGAGGCTGTTCCCCAGCACTGCCCTAAATTAATAAGGCCAATCAGAAATGCACAAAGCCTGGATGGCCAATCATTCTTCTGGAGGTTTTTGCCATCTTCTCTGCGGTCAGATAAATCACGTTAAAGCTATTACACCCATGACCATAAATTAGGGGGCCTGGCGGTCCGTTCCTCCGAGGACGCTACAGACTAAGAAGATTCCCGGGGGGCTGCACTGGGGCCTGGGGGGGGTGTTCCTGACTTGTGGGGGTCCTTGGGGTGCGGGAGGGTGGAAGGGCGAGGCGCCGGGCATTTGTTCTTGCAGAATGCGGGAGGTGGACTCGCGCAACCTCCAGGGTCCACATTTGAGCTGCACCCAGCTGCTGACACGCGCTGCTCAGAGATGGCCTCGATTCCCCAGGTGCGGGGACTCCATCTGCGCGGCTCCTCGAGACTATTTACAACCGAGGTTAGGTCGGTGATTGCTGGCATGGAAAACTCATTTCTCAGCCTGACTTTTATTTACAGTCTTATTAAGGAGGCTTTCGCTCACGTAGGACTGGCAGCAAGAAGCTGGCGGCCGACTGCGCGGTGCGGGGGAGTGACCGCGGCCCCAGTGCCCACAGGAGAGTGGCAAAGTGCCGGGACAAAGGCGCGGGAAGCCTGGGCGCCCGGCTCTGCAGACGGCAAGGGGCCGCTGCTTTTCCACCAGCCTGGAAAAGTTCGATGGCTCCGTGGCTGAATTTTTCCTTTCAGTGTTTAGCTAGTTCCTGGCTCCATTCTCCCCTGCCCCCGGCCCAGGCACTCTTTGTAAATTCCCAATAACACGCAACGGTTCCTGAAGTGCTTCACCCCCATCTAAAACCCTAGGTGGAGGTCTAATCCTTCTCCGGTAATAGACCCATTTCCACCGGCAGCTCGGATGGCTGGAAGAAGGCTCTGAACGCCCTCTGGGGTCTCCGCTGCCTGGCCGAGCCCGGGGAAGGCGTGGGGTTGGACTCAGCGGTTAACGACTCCCGGGAGGAACAGCTCCGGGCTGTTCTTTCCATTGGCACCGTCTCAAACCCGAGCAGGCCCTCGTGTGTGCGTGTGAGACTGCATGTCCTGAAAATGCTCCTGCAGCCCCGGCACATCTGGGTCCCCTAACCATGCATATTCATGCCTGCCAGCAGTAAAACCCAGGTCAGCTGCTAGGAGACAGTGAACTGCGTTCTTGAAAGCTGACCAAGCCCCAGAATCTAATAAAAGACCCAACTGTCTCCTCTCCAACTCGATGCAGAGCCTCATAACACTTGAGACATTATTTTTGTTGTTTTGTTTTGTTTTTTCCTAAAAGGAACAAAGGAAACCTGGAGAAGTCTTGCTGCTGTAGAGCCGAGGAGGGGTTTCTAACGTTGTTCCCACCGCCATAGAAACTGATTTCACTCTGGTAGCTTGCCTGGTTCCCCTGGCCTCTTGGATGAGTGGATGACATTTTCTTATTCTGTCTCTGCACAGGGTCCCTCCCATTTAACATGTTTTCCATCCCTTCTTTTATCATTTTCCTTTTTTTGTGTGAGTTGCTCTTTCCCTTCCTCTTCTTTCCAGAAAAGAGTGGATTCCTATATTCCTATCTACCGTCCTATATTTCTGTCACTTTGTTCAGAAATACCCCTTTCTTTCTCCTTAGTAGCTCAAGGGGGCAGCCCCTCGCTGGCACAGCCTGGGGGATGGGGAGCTGAACCTGGTGCACTGGGAAGAGGACATCAGAGCAATGACACTTGGTTTTCCTACCAACTTGACCACCCACAGTCCCCCAGGACTCCCATCTAGTTGAGGGGCACTGCACTCTATCCAGTTCAGTATTATGGGCTGATTTGTGTCCACCAAAATTGATATGTTGAAGCTGTAATCCCTAGTATCCCAGAATGTGACTGTGTTCAGACACAGAGCCCATAAAGAGGTTTAAGGTTAAATAAGATCACACAGGTGGACCCTAATGATGCCCTTGAACTTGCCATCCTCCTGCCTCATAAGAAAGAAAATTTGGATACACGAAGATATACAAGATATACTAAAATGTGTGGTACACAGAGAAAAGACTGAGAAGGAGGCAGTCCCTTGCAGAGAAGCTTCAGGAGAAACCAAACCTGCTGGCATCTTGATCTTGGACTTCTAGGCTTCAGAACTGTGAGAAATAAATTCCTGTTATTAAGGATGCCCAGTCTGTGATTTATTGTTACGGTGACCCTAGCTAGCCAATACAGGCATGAAGGAAGCCTTCCTGTGCCTTTTCTGTGGCCCTCCTTCCTCCTCCATGTCTCAGAAACTCTTTCCCTCAAATTGGCTTGGTACAACTTTTCTTTTTGTTATGGTCCAGATGATCCTGTTTTTTGAGACAAAAACTTTTACTTAATGACAATTTTCTGATAAAAGAGTTTTACTTCTACACCCCTTGTTTGATTTTTGGTTTTATTCTATGCAGGGTTGCTAGATAAATGCAGGACACCCATTTAAATTTGAATTTCAGATAAACAGCAAATAACTTTTTAATATAGATATGCCCAAATATTGTATGGAACATGCAGTACTGAACAAGAAAATTATCTGAAATTCAAAATCAACAGAAGTAGGTTTGTTTGTTTGTTTTAGTCCTAGGGATTGAACCCAGGAGGTGAGCAACATCCCCAGCCCTTTACAATTTTTTAGTTAAAGACAGGGTCTCACTAAGTGGCCACAACTGCCCTTGAACTTGCCATCCTCCCACATCAGCCTCCTGGCAAACTAGGTGTCTTTGATATTTTGTTCGTTAAGTCTTCCAACATTGGTTCAGTAGTGGATCCTTAATATATTTACACAGTGGGTCTCACGTTTAAATCATCTGGAGAACATTAAAAGAGTTCTGATGGTAGGGTTCCTCTCTGAAGAATTCTGGTTTAATTGGTCTGAGGTCTGAGCTAGTTGACAGAATTTTTTTTTAAACTCCCAGGTGATTTTAACAGGCAGCCTGGGTCTAGGACCACTTTAGGAAGTGAGAGTTGCTAACTATTTAAACACTCTTAGCTATCAGGCTGTTGGATTTAGGGCTCCCTTAGACTTGGAATGTCATCTTATCACTCTTCTTATAGCTGAGTCCAGAGGCAAAGGTCAAGCAGATGAAAAAAAAAAAAAAAAGGCCCTGTTAGTATGTGAAATGGTCAACTTATTTCAGGTCAACTGAGCCCATAAAGAGAGATGTCAAGAGCTGTATATTGATACCACTGTAGCAAATGGCTCTCCATCCTGACACTTCAGGTTTTGTAATAAACAGTGCAGCTGGGTACCCTGGTAAAAGATTTACTTTGTACCATTGATTTTATTACAGGCCAATGCTCAAGAATGTAGGATATGTTTTAAGCACTCTTGTAGTTCAAGAGGATTTGAACATAATTTTGTTCAGCCTCCAGAGCCTGGATATCTGTCCTTTTTAACTATTAGTTGGCATAAAAAGAGAGCTAAGGCTTACCTGTTCCTTGCTTTTTACTGGAAAATTCATAGAAAATCCATATACTACAGTTACTACACCTGGAGCTGAACACCATTCATTCTGCTTGGGCAAAGGTCTCTGAATTGAGCCTGATACTCAATTAGCAACATATACCTTCATAGCAAGTGGTAAAGAGCTGCTGGCATAGAACTTCAGGCAAGTTAAGAGTCAAGATTAACTGGATGAGGTGGTGCATGCCTATAATCTCAGCGACTGGGGAGGCTGAGGTAGGAGGATCCCAAGTTCAGAGCTAGCCTCAGCAACTTAGCAAGGCCCTAAGCAACTTAATGAGGCCCTGTCTCAAAATAAAAAAATAAAACAGGCTAGGGATGTGGCTCTGTGGTTAAGGCCCCTGGGTTCAATTCCCAATACCAAAAAAAAAAAAAAAAGTGGCAAGACTAGAGTGAAGCTGGGTACTATGGTACTTGTCTGTAGGCTCAGCTATCAGGAAGGCTAAGGCGGGAAGATTACAAGTTTGAGGTCAGCCTGAGCAACTTAGACTCTCCAAAAATAAAAAATAGGGCTGGCAATGTAGCTTAGTGGTAGGGTACCCTGGGTTCAGTTCTCAGGACCACAGTGGGAGGGGGAGAGCAAGAAATGGCTGAATCTCAGTAAGAACAGGGAGCTTTCTGACCTTTTTTGCTTGACAGTTTCCACACCCTTTTCCCTAGATCTGTGATAGTCGTGACCACCAACAGCCTCAGAGCCATGGTAACTGAGAACCAGCAGACTAGTAGCTACTGGAGGGGCAGAACGGATTAGAACCTCTTCCAAAAGCCCTATGCCTGGAAAATTGTCACTATTGGACCTGTCTGAAAGCTCCTCATTCTCAGGGCTTGTCTTGACCTGTTCTGTGTTCACAACTCTATCTGCAGGGAATTAGTTGAAAATAATCATCAGCAATTGTTTAACATCATAATCAGTGGTAGCAGTGGAGGCTAACCAGGAGGCTGACCAAAAGACTGAAAAAGAAAAACTCGGTGAATGAGATGTCCACAGGGTGCTTTGAAAAGCACCAAGATATTATTGAGGATCTAGAAGTCTTTGAAAATGTGCAGGGCAGGGCAGCGTGTGCTCCCAGGAAAGTCCCAAGAAGGTCTTAATCTTTCGTCTCTGTCTGATTGTAGAGCTCTGGAAAAGAAGGAAGTGAAAGCTAAGCCAGAGTTGTAAATTGCTTACTAGAGCACTGAATGTATGCCTGAAAAACAGATCTGATGAAAAAAACATGACACATTCAAGAAGTACAGAGAACTCTATGTAGGATGAGAGACAACGGTGACTCATCACATTCAAGTGACTCAATAAGATTAACAACTAGCTTCCCATCAGAATCATGGAGGCCGGAAGTTAGAGGTATGACATGTCTAAAGTGCTGACTGAAAAAAATATCTGTCCATCAGAAATTCTATGTCCAGCAAAACCCTCTTTTTGAAAATGAAAGAGAAGCTAAGACATTCCCAGATAAAAAATGGAGAGAATTTATCCCTAGTAGACCTGTTTTACAAGAAATACTAAAATGGGTCCTGAATTGAAAAAACACTACATAGTCGCTTGAATCCACCAAATGAAGAAATAAAGAATTCCAGTAAAGGCAAATGCCACAGGAAATAAAAAAGAAATATAAATGTATTTTTGTTTGTAACTCTTTTCTTCTTATATATATTTAAAAGACAACTGTATAATAATTATTCATCTGTTGATGAGCTTATATTTGCATGATAAATAATAACATGAAATGAGAAGGAAGAGAATGGCAGTATATACTGGACCAAAGTTTTTTTAATACTATTGAAATTATTTCCATTAATCCAAACTAGATTGTTTGAAAATAAGATGTTAATTGTATTCGCCAAAGCAACTGCTAAGAAAATGCCTCAAAAATAAAGAAACAATTAGGAATTAAATTATGTATTAGAAATTATTTTACACATAGGCAGCAATGAAAGAATAAAAGAACAAAACAAAACAAAAAGCAAAACGGGACAGTGCAGTGAGTTACATCCATAGTTTCAAGTAAGTCCTGTCTTATCCATAATTACATTAAATGTTATGTGGATGAAACATTCTAATCAAAAGGCAGAGATTGACAAAATGAATTAAAAAACATGATTCAATTATGGTCTCTCTAAAAGACATACTTTAGAATAAAAAACACTAATAGGGTGGGAATGAAAGCATGGGAAATGAAAGCATGGGAAAAGTTATACTATGAAAAAAGTAACCAAATTAGAGCAGGAGTGGCTGTATAAATATGTGGAGTAGCCTTCAGACAAAAACTGTTTCTGGAGGCAAAGAAGGACACTTTATAGTGATAATGAGATCAATCAATGAGGAAAACAATTATAAACTCACATGCACCTAACAACAGAGACTGAGCCCTAAAATACATAAAGCACAATCTTACAGGATAGAAGAGATAAAAAGACAATGCAACAAGAACGACTGGAGACTTTCATATCTCTTTTCAATCATGGATAGAACAAGTAGGCAGAAGATTAGCAAGGAAATAGGAATACTGTAATATGATAAGCTAACTAAAATCTAAAGAGATCTATAGAATGTTCCATCCAACAAAAGTGGAACACACATCTTCTCAGGTGCACATGGAACATTCCTCAAGATCGATCATGTTAAGCCATAAGATGAATGTCAATACATGTAAAAGAATGGAAATTATACAAAGTTTGCTCTCTGATTACAATAAGGTTATCTTCTGGTCTGTAAAAGATAATCATTTTTACTTCAGAAGGGGATAAAAGAATCCAGATCTCAAGTGCCCTGCATAGGGCATTACACATAGTAGGACAAATTCCATGTTTGTTTTTCTTTGCCTCATGGCTAGAGTTTGACAAACGAGGAGTTAACTTACTCCTTGCAAATTAGAGAAAAAAAATTAACCATTTAGAATTGGTGGTGGATTATATTACTGATGCTGTGTTAGTATTAAGGAGACAGCTTCAGAACCATGATGTAGCCATCTTCAGTACAGCTAAAAGCCAGATGGAGAGGACTGTTGAGGAAAGAAACCAGCAAATTTCTAAGTTGTCCTCTGTTTATGACTCAATAGGTCACTAGTGTTCATTAATATGTGTGATTTTCTTCATTTTTTTTTCCCCACCAGAGAAGTGAGATAAGGCTACATTTTAAGGAATCAATTCTACTGGTAAAGACCTAAAACTTGACTTTACACTGCCTTAGAAGAGATCCTTAGTTCAGCTGGTCTACGGCTGCTTTTATGTAACGATAGCTGAATTGAGTAGTCGTGATAGAGTCCAAATGGCCCATAAAGCCTAAAATATTTACTGCTGGGCCAAAGTTTGCTGACCCATAACCTAATAACTAAATAATCCTTGGGTGGCCCTGGCAGGAGATATTACAGGAAAGACATTGAAAACATGTAGTCATCCTATTTTCCCAAGTTTGCATAACTTTAACATGGTCAATCTTGTTTCATCTATAAACCCATCCAGCCCTCCCCCTTAACTGCTCTGAAACAATTCCAAGACATACATTATAAATATTGCATCTATAAATATGAGTTTCTTTACATTGTATTTGAAGGCGTGTAATACAAAAGACAGTACTTATCTTTTTTTGTAAGTGTGAGACCTATATTGCTGTTAATTTTTCTATAAGTTCCACTTTGCAAATAGTAGACTGGGGGCTTGGGTTGTGGCTCAGCAGTAGAGTACTCGCCTAGTATGTGTTCAATCCTCAGCACCACATAAAAATAAATGAAAATAAAATAAAGGTATTGTGTCCATCTACAACAAAAAAAATATTTTTTAAAAAATAGTGGACTGGCCAAATGTTCTCTGACTTGCATTTAAGGATTCAAAGAATAGTAAATTTCATTTCCTAACCTAGAATAATGATAGTGGAGATTTTACAGTTCTCCAGAAATTTCTCCCAACTTTTTTTTGCTCACTGAACAAACTCAACAGGCTAACATAGAATCACTAAGACCTCTGCTGGCAGGTTCTAGGATTCTTTTGTTTTAATAAGTGATGTGAGGTTACTGACCATATTGATCCCAGAAGTGTTTAAAGGCTTGGAGGTGACTTGATTTGGGATATTTTGCTGTTGTGATTTCACTTTTCTCCCACTCTCATGTCAACCACTGTCCTACTCCCCACTTCACAATAGTGCCTTCTAAATGAGCTCATCCACTCTTACTTCATATTGACTAAATTTGCAAATATTAACATTGAAAAAGAAGATGGGGGGGAAAAAAGCTCAGAGGTATATGCCCCCTTTAGGGAAGTGTGCATTCAGATCTTACAAAGCCCTGGTCAGACATGGTCCCTGGAAGACAATGGAGGTACACTCTGCCCCTACATTGTGCTTGGACATACCCTGAATCTCTTGTGGATGACCTAGTTGGAATCAATGAATCAAGGTTAGCTGGCTGAAAAACCTTGTCAGAACTGAAAGACAAGAGACTGAAAATGTGGAGAGATACATGGAGCCAGCAGCAGCCTTTTTAAGGCTCTAATGATAGAAAAAGCAATTAAAAGAGAGACTAATTGCTGGGGATATATAATTCATTCTTTGGCTTGTCATTTAGTTAGAGGAAAATGGCAACAAATTTGAAGTATTTTGTAGATAGGGATTTTTATTTATTTTTTCATTAAATTTTTTTTTGTAC